TATGCCAAGGTCACGCCTGTAGCATCTCTTGCCCAAGGTCGTGCCACTCCCGACATAAGTATTAATTGCCTCACACATCCCACCCTATGTCAAGGTCACGCCTGTAGCATCTCTTGCCCAAGGTCGTGCCACCCCCGACATAAGCATGAGAAATCACACATCCTACACTATGCCAAGGTCACGCCTGTAGCATCTCTTGCTCGAGGTCGTGCCACCCCCGACATAAGTATGAGGAATCACATCCACATTCACATCCACATCCACATTCACATTCACATTCACATTCCATAACTCAATTCCACAACACATACACAAAATCCACAAAAATCGTGGTTCACATACTCCTCAAGCACTTCACCATGAATCCTCATCTAGATCATCAATTTTTACCATATAATATAACAATAATATTTATAAATTAATGCTCAATTGAATCATCAATTTAATACAATATTAAATCAAATAGCAAAACCCCCAATAAATATTATTTATCTACATGAAAATGAATGTTAAAGGCCATAATTAAATAATGAATTTAGATTTTAGAAAGATAAAAAATAAAAGAAAAATAATTTATAGGAATAAAATCAATATTTATCAACTTAGGAGAACCAAAAATAGTTATTTCAAAATAAGGAAGATATAAAAATAGTGAAAATACCCAAAAAAAATCACTTATTTTATATGAATTGAAAATATATTAAAATCTAAATTTATTAAATTTTATGAAAAATAATCATACACATAATAATTTGTAATTCGTTAACTATATGTAACATGTTGATACATAGCTACTAAATTCTTAATTTCATTCCTATTTTACATATGGTTTTGTATCTATCCTTGGGTTGAGTTGGAAAACATTAATGCTTTCAGAATTTGTGTGTGAATAAAAAAAAATCTTTCTATTTTCAAAAGATAACATCACTAGTGTATCTTATAATAATTGGTAAAAATAATTTTATGCCAATTTTAGATCTGTTATAAATTCAAGTGCTAAAGAAAGTATTGACCTTTATGTTGATTATAAAAACAATTGACATAAAAGGTCTCTACTTTTATATCGGTTATAAAAATAATAAAAATAAAAGTCTTACTTTTAAAATTAATAAATGTTTATCTATTGCACTCTTTCTCTCTCACTCGTCATATCTCGTCGTAAAATTGTTCTTTTCTTTTCGTTGTCTCATTTCTTCATATTTCATTATCAGACTCTTTCTCTCTTGGTGCATCTCATCATGTTTGGTCATCATGTTTGTTTTTCTCTTGTTGCATCTCTTTACGTTTCACCATCATGCTATTTCATTCTCGTCGCATTTCTTCATATTTTGTTGTCACACTCTTT